CCATGATGGTCTTTACTGATGAAGATCTGCTGCTTGGTTCTAAGCCTCACAACAGATCGTTATTCGTGGCCGGATATGTGCATGAGCAAAAGGTGAACCGAATATTGATTGATGGAGGATCAGCAGTCAACATCTTGCCTCTTCGCACACTGAAAGAGCTAGGAATGACTATCGAAGAACTTGGTAATAGTCGATTGATGATTCAAGGCTTTAACCAAGGGGGGGCAAAGAGCTCTTGGCATCATAAGGTTGAGGTTACTGATAGAAGATATGGAGTCAACTGCAATGTTTCATGTCATCAATGCAAAAACTTCTTACAACATGCTTCTTGGTCGTCCATGGCTTCACGAGAATGGCGTGGTTCCGTCCACATGGCATCAATGCTTCAAATATTGCAAAAATGGCATTGTGAAGACTGTGCTTGGTGATGATAAACCTTTTACGGAGGCTGAAACTCATTTCGCTGATGCCAAATACTATTTCAATGATGCAAAACCAATTGAGAAAGTCTCGTCTAAGCAGCATAAAGGGTCTGAAAGTGAAGAGATAAAGATTGAAAAGATAGAAAACGATTTGAAAGAGTTACTATTGCCGTTGCCGAAGATAAATGACGGGAAACCTATCTCCCAACCACCTACGAAGTTTGTTCGTCCAAGCAACGGAGCCGTAGTGGAGCATGGTGAAAGATTGAAGAACTCAAAGTGTTTTGATCCAAAAGCCTACAAGCTTCTCGTCAAAGCAGGATACAACCCCAATGAAAGTCGCTCTTTGGGAAAGCTCATACCTCAAGAGCAAAAGCACAACCGGGCAGGTCTTGGTTATGTGGTACCAAGTCCAATTATAATCGCCATCAAGAGAGCAAATGCAAATCATGTCTCGGAAGGAGAAGTCGCATCCGCTAACGTCATAAACAAAGGGCAAAGGGTGTCGGTGTTTCAAAGACTCGGTCCAGTTCTGAAGTCTAAAGGCAAGCATTCTGTGTTTCAACGACTTGGACCCTTCAAGCAGTCAAAGCCTTTAAGACAAGAAAAAGGTATGGGTTCGACTTTAAAGCTTAGAAGTCGAATTCCGTCACGTATGAAACGTCAAACCACTTTGATCATATCACGTGGTGAGGTTTTAAAGGAAAAAATGCCCGCGATCGTCCATATAAGAGCGCAGGACGATGAAGATAATGATAGAGGAAGTGTTGGTTCGTCTTACTATGCTTGCGATACTCTTACAACTCCTCGAGATGATGAATGTTCTCTTTACCGAAAGATAGCATATTTGGTGAGAAAGGGGTACATATCTAG